TTTTTTTATTGTTTTCCGTTGTGTTGACGAAGAAGCATGGGTACGTACTTGGCAGTTCTTGTTACAAAGGTCATCAGAGAAATGCAATGTACGTACCCGTGCTTATCTAAGGATTAATGCAAACACTATACGCGCCAATCAAAGTTAATCTTCGCAGTCAACATCTGCAAAGATCATGCCTGGGAACTAGCCCCTCACACCCGCACAAGAACAGTTCAATTTTCTAGAATATTTTTCTCAAAAAAAAAACCAACTATTTTTTTTAGTACACGATGACAAGCAGGAGTCAGGAAGACACCCCAAGGAGAAAGGTCCTTCTAGCTGTGGACCACAGTGAACATACTCTTCGTGCTTTTAATTGTAAGTATACTACTTCTACTTGTTCACACCTAATGATCACCCTTGAAGTGCGTGTACTTGGATATAGCCAGTATACATAGCTTCCATATAATAGGAGATTTATTATTAATTCTAAAACCCGAAGGCTTAATGTTGTAGAGTAGTGACCTCTCTTAGCAGCCTTGGTATATTTTGACGACCTTGTGAAGTGGCTGATGATGTGCAAGACGTACAAACATCAGCATCACCATTGGTTTACTTTCTCTAGTCTTCCTCTAGCGTGACTTATTTAACAAACAGAATTAAAGTCGAAATTCCACGAATTTCTTATTCAATGTTCAGTAGATTAGAGCGTTTAATGACCATGGTACGAGTATTTGTATCATGGATCTGACTTGTAGTCGACTCATTTCGTAATCAGTGATTACGGGTTGAATGTTTGCTAAAAACACACAGTCTGCAAGCAACTCATGTATATAAATGAAGAACCTTTAGCTAGCATAATATGTCTAGGATATATAAAATAAGTTAGAGACTGATGCTTTCATTTGCCACATGGTTCAGCAGAGTTTTTTCTCTCTGTTATTTAGTTTCTTGTAAAAAACAACAAAGAAACAAAACAACAATACAAAAACAAAAACAACAATAACAACAACAACAAAACTGTACCCAGAATAGGATCCAGGATTATCCCATCATGCATTGGGAATGATATATAACATTTCCCCATTAAACAGCTGAAATATTTTTGAAATTAAACAAAATCAATTGTATTTGAGTAGAGTATATGCCTCATGATTTAACCACATCTATTTCCTAAATTCTTCAAGAAATTTAGATATACTCCTCAAAATACTGGAGTACTTTGGAGTATTTCAGTAAAGATCCTACAACTGGATACTTTTATTTGCCAAATTAGTCAAACATGTCTTTATCCAATGCTAAAGCAACACCTCAGTATTAGTATTAGTAGTAGCAAAAGTATCATACATTAGAAAAAGATGCACATAAACCGGTTGAAACCAAAGAAAACAATAATAAGCTCACAAAGGCACTTGGGATAGCCCTGGATAGATTCTTCTCTGAATAGTACCTTTACCTTACTTAAGTATATGAGAAATACAGAATTAACAAAAAGTAGCTTACAGATGATCATAATAAAAAGGAACTGTATCAAATTCAAGGAGTATTCCAGCATTTTTGCTATTTTTAAGGGCTTTTCAAGACAGTTAAAAATCGGTTTTGAATTCCAGGGCTTTACCAGGATTTCAAAGAGTAGCATGAGTCCTGTAGACGTATGGATGTGAGAATCTTATCAGGCACATTTTAAATTGTATCTACCTCTTGCTGGTCTCTGTTATATTTATATCACCTTTTTGGAGGATAAACCTTAACTAATGGTCTATCATAATTCCTATGCTCTGATTGGCTGAGCTACTCGTGGCATAATAGTGATAAACCACTTGTTAGGGAAAGTAGTGGTTTTGAAAACCAAATCAACACAAACATAAGTTATTTCGACCTAATTTCGACATTGTTTGTATTCATTTATTTGACCCATTAGTAGGTACATATTAAAACAATTTCTCCACTTGTACTCATGGTCAACAAGTCAATATCCATGCAGTCTTAAGCCTTATGGGCTACTGACTCATAGACCATTCAGGCTGTGGTTCTAATCATGAAATATCTGTATCATGGCTCATCATAAGGTTCTAAAAAACATGCACAACATAAATCAAATAATTTGTAAAAAAATTCAGTTGAAGCTGAAATAAAATGCTGGTTAAGTTTGCTGCAGTTTTCAATATTCTATAAACTCTGACATTTTAATGACTTGTTGTGAAATTGGTTTTTTACTGCCAATTGGTATTATTTTTGATTGATTGCAGAAAAAAAAATTTCAGAGTGCACCTGGCAACTACTGAGTTTGCAGAATATACTGCAGTAATTTTCTGAAACTTATGTCTTGGTCCTGGGATGTACCCACATACGTCCAAATCAGGTTCAGTAATTTTGGGAGGAGAGGGTAAAAGGCAAGTGAGCAGTCAATTTTGAGAGCATTTAGCATGTGTCTGTGTTATGTTTCCTGGAGTTTTTGTACTGTCAGATAACTGTATGGTTTCTTGCTTTATCATATCACCATATTTCTGCACTACAGCTAGGGCAAGTCTAAGAACTCTCAGCTGCATATTTATTTCTAATTTTTCTTGCAGGGTACCTTGATGATCTCCACAAGGATGACAGCATCTTATATATTTTACACTGCCAGGAACTTCCTGCACTTACACTGCCTCCCCATGCATGTAAGCTATGCCAGGGCTTAGCCAATGGGTAGTAATGGCAGGGGTGTGGCCAGGGGGTCATGTCTCCCTTCACTCCCTAAAAACATGTACAAGATTTTTCTTCATTTACTCTTTATAAAATATCTTCTTTACATATCACAGACTCGCTCTGTTGGCAAAGTTAGTTTTGGAAAATGCACTTCCGTTTAGGACAATTCTTGGAAAGGCATAACAGGAAGTGCACTTTGGGAAATTGGATTATAATGGGAAACACAGACCAGAGCAAATCAACTCTCAGGGTGGCTTGGTAGAAATTCTCGTTAGTACCATACTCCATATTAATGTCCACCTAATAAATCATGCTTGAATGCCTATCATTGTTGTTAACACACAACATCTGTCATGTTATACAGACGCAACAAGGATTTATGAAGACTGGTTAGAGGAAGCAAGGAAGACAGAAGCTAAAAATAAAGACCTTCTTCATTCTTTAAAACAGAAATGTGAATCAAGAAATGTAAGTCATTAATGAAAATAAGTGCCCTTAGCTTTGGTCCCAGTGGACCAGGTTCCAGGATTTTAAAAAGAAAATTTTTATGTTTTTTAAACTTCCCAACTGTGTAGAACTATTCATAAGACATATTTCTGCTATGTAAAAAAATAAAACCCTCAAAGGGGAGGGGGGTGGGGGTGGTTCCGTGGAACCCTTGGAGCCTCCTCTGGATTCACCACTGGGGACTATTGGTGTACTTAAATATCAAACCACTCTCTTGAGTATCATTTCTTTATTTACTTGTCGTGCTTGAAAATATACTAACTAAGATATAGACAAAGATATAGACATACACGCAGCACAACAACGTCGCAAGCAACATTATCTTAGAAGGATTAATATCACAGCAAATGTTTGCCATTAAAACAATACATTGGTAACTTAAGCCAAACATCAGAATTCTGGTTAAAAACAAAGTATTTAAATATGATTGGTCGAGAGGTTTAACATTTTGACAGTAAAGTTGAACATGCAGTCCTCATAGGATGGTATTTGTTCTGTAAAACTTGTAGAAGTAGATGTTGATTCTACTTCTGTGTGCCCTGCCGTATCCGAGGTCAATGTCAAATGGATGTAGTTCTGAGTACTTAGAACTGTGCGCTGCACGTGTGTCACAGCATCCCGGGCACAGCATGTTCAAATTTGCCAGCGCGCCACGTTGCAGACGTAGATCTTGGCAACATTGTGCGAATTCAATTACAGAAGGGAACACACAATTCAATTGAGCGATGCAACGTTCCCGGGGGACTCCGGGAAAAAAGTACCGGGGATGCTCGTCATATCTCTTAGGGGTTAAAATTCGCGATTTGGTATCTTTTAGGGTGTTAAATGCGAATTTTTGAAAATCAGCATTTTCTGGTATCTCTTAGGATGTCGGAAAAGGAGAGAAGCGCGCATCGATATGGCTTATCCTAGGCGCTTTTTATATGAAATTTAATATTATTTGTTGTGGTATCTCTTAGGGGTTAAAAATCATTCAGCCACACCTTTTCTTAAAGACTTCTGGTATCTTTTAGGGGTCTTTTTGAAAATTTCCGACGAGCATACCCGGTACTTTTTTCCCGGAGTCCCCCCCGGAGACTGGGACCGAGGAAAACAGTGTGGAAATTGATCATAATATGATATAAAGGTTTTCCAACCATGCTTATAATATTCTCATTTCCTAAGACCTGTCATTACTTGTAATTTACAAATGGTTTCTCACATTTTTGTTTGATCAGGTAAAGTGCGAGCTGTTTCTGGAACATGCCTCTAGCGCGGGAGACGCTCTATGCCAGTTTATAAAGGAACGCAAGCCTAATTATGTTGTAATTGGTTCCAGAGGACAAGGCATGGTACGGCGCACCGTCTTAGGCAGCGTTAGTGATTTTGTTATTCATCATAGCGCGGTCCCAGTTTGTGTATGTCCACCAGAACAGTAGCTACAAACTTCTTTTGCCTCAGTTCTTTTCATGTACACGAGACTTCTTATACAAAACTTAGGTATGTTTTTTTTTGTTAAAGAAGATTGCCATACCACCTTTAAAAAAAAAAAAAATCACTTTATTTAAGTGCCTAGTCGTTCTAGCGCTTTTCGCACTAATTGGGGACACTTTTCACTAACACGCACTACCACTACATTTAATATTAGGCGGCATGTAGCGACACTAAGAGGTAAAGGTGCTTTTGCTTGCGCTGCTTTTTCACAGGGAGCCCGGCTTTAGAATTTGTACATGAATAAATAAATCAATAAAGTGCTTTATTGGGTTTCCTGTGTTGAGATTTGAAACAAGATGCTGATACGTTGAATTTCCGGTAAACTACCAGTAACTTGATAGCAGACGTTACGTATTATAATCATAAGCTGCTCTCAAGTTACTTACGCTAATCTGCTATCAACTCTTAACTTCTCTTAAACATTATGGTATACGTAGATGGGAGGGATGGACAGATGCGATGGCTAGAAATGTGCACTTAATTTACGGAGAAGGATGCGATGGTTACGCTTGCTCATCGCTTGGGAGACGTGTCAGATTTCTAAAAATGCGCAATAAATTAAATTTTGGTAGAAAAAGGTGATGATTACTCTGCGCACCTAATATAGTGAGATGGATTTGATGTATAAGACTTTTCACTTAATGGGCCCTTCTCAAAAGTATCGTGTATGTGTTGCAAGGCTAACATGAAAACACGAAAGAAATCAGTTTTTTTCCTCGATGGAATTTGTGGCATGTTATCCTCGTATTCAAGATAAATATTGGATAGATAGTTTGGATAAAAATAACTAAAACGGAAAACTGCTTTTCCTTAGTTTCTTAATTTTTGCACCTTACAACACTAATGCTTCTAACCAATAATTTTATTAGTACGTCCTCTGTTACTGAAAGGTTTAGTACCGTTGGCTTCATGAACATTAAAGATGCCTTTTGTCATGTAATGTTAAACGGGGTGTTTTTTCCTAGCAGTTTTGTCAACCACAGTTCCACATGTTGGTTTCTTCTTGATGACCCCGTCAATCTCGTGTAGGTGGCACTGGGCCACACGAAATAGGCAATAGTTATCAAATGTAACATGTACTTCTTTCCCCATAAGACCGTTTAGTCTTTGCACAGCACATACAGGGATGAATGGCTTGCCCTTGCATTCACTCGATGAAGGACAATAAATCTTGGCCGATTCTAAAAAAATAATGATCATATAAATACAATTGATATAAATCAGCATTCGGGCGCGTAATAAATACATTAGAGCAGTTTTGGCAAGACTTTGAAAAACTCGGTGCCGCGAGCGTCCCTTGCCGTGACCGTGATGTCCCCTAAAATTTTGAATTTCTGATTTTTTTTTCGCGAAATGTGATTGGTCTGGCGTATGTCTTGCCGTGTGACGTCCGTGTTTGTGCCGTGAGCTTTTCACAGTAATAGGAAAACTGCTTTATATTAAATGGTGGGTAAAGCGCGTGCTCTATATCTTTTGGGGGTGGGGGAGGTGGATTTACGAACCCCCCCTCCCCTAAATAATCTAATGGTCCGCATAGAAGGTGAGATATTAGGCAGATTAAGATTCCCGCTTTTCCTTCCCGCAAACGGCAAACGTGACCACGTTTTCATTGTTTCCCTACATTTCATTTTACCTTTTGCAAACCTTCTCAGTCGACAAAGACAAGTATTCTTTTGTTTATCTACTACTTGGAGATTTTTGAGATTGCTTTTCACTAATTTTAAAGAATTTTTCAATGGTCAACTGACGTTTCACGTTTGCCGTAAACGAGGATCTTAAACTCTCTAATTAAAGAAATAAATACACGCATATTGTGAGAGGTCTTTTTTGTAATCCGCTGTCAATGCGGGACCCTTCCATCGAGAATAGACACTAAACAGTCAATAGACATTTATTGTGTATATATAGACATAATAGACACATGCTATGGAAGCATGCATGATTTTGGGATTTTTACTTTTTGATTCATAAAAAAGGACCATACTTCCAGACATCGAGTGCTGAACCGTCGTATGGCAGCGCGAAGCATTTACGGCTACGCCGGAGATTTCGGCCCCGACACCGCTATCCGAAGATTTACAGACTGATCAGGAAGCTCGGCCGAAGCCTAAGGGAGAGGTTAGTCGGCCCCTAGACCGTAAATGATTAACCCCTTTTTGTTTTAGCTTCGCACCAGT